ATGGATGATCTGTCAGTGTAGCATTGCTTGCGTTAAAATCATTCGAATCGCGCAATCTAAGTCGAATGTAACATGATTTACTATTATGTTCAAGCCACGAAAGAACAATGAATGTAACGCGAGTCTAAAGAAGAACCAATCACTTGCGTGTTTTCAAAAGATCTGACCAAAAAAGAAAATTGATAAACAATTTACGTGAAAGTCGTCATCTCTGTTAGCGACTACGGATTGTTGTTCATTATCACCAAAATTTGGAATACCATCTGTTGATGTTTCGAAACTAAAGTCAACTACATACGTCGCCGTAGTATCATCAAATCTACAGAAGAGAACATTGAGCTAATCGGGTATAAAACATGAGTATAGTTACATACTCGGTTGGTAATCGCAGTTTATCCTTTGTACATAAACGAAGAATTTCTCCAGCAATCAATTCATTTTTTGATTGAAATAACTTGTTATCAGGAATTTGATGGAATATCTCTTTAAAAAGTATTCATACCACCTCAGAACTCTCATATTTATAAACTAATGTTGCTTTGAACTCATTCAGTTTACTTCCTTCTGTCTCTTAATGGTACCGATATTCCTTCAGCTACTATACATCCATCGTCTATTTGAACTCTGTAAAAAAGCCGTGTATGAAATTCTGAAAATAATGGAGCAGTTTCACTCAATCTCTTACGTCGAAGTACAATTTCTTACGTACAATCTCTTAGGGAAATCTCTTACGTTCTGAAGTTGTCAGATACCAACCAGCAAGAGAACGAAAAGCAAAAAAATACATATTTTTTTCCAACAAGAATATATATGACAATGTAAAGTGAAAACGTGAATAAGCAGAACCTTGAAAAAGTTTAACAAAGAAACAGGTAGAAAGAAAGAAAAACTTTGCCGCTGTAACTCAACTATAGTTTTTTTAAAAGTCTCGATCATCTTATTAAATATTGTAACTACACAATACAGATATGAATGTATGCGATCATCATTCTATATTGTTTTATTCAAATTCATTTGTTTTCCTTTTGATAAAGTGGCTATAAATAATGGAGCAGTTTCACTCAATGGTCGACGTTGTCTATGACGATATTCTAAAATTTTTTAGCAAAGAAAAAATAGATAAATCAGGTTTTTTTATCATCATACGAGCGTTTCTGCCTGTTGGTCTATAAATTGAAAATGAACATTGCGTCGAACTCGTCTCTAGTTTATTTAAATTTTCTTTTGAAACTCCTTTCGTTGTGCACATATTATTTTTACATTTATCAGATCTTAAAGAAAACCAGCGACAAAATATTTTTTTACCGGATAATGGTGTAAAAGAATTAATTTCTATTATTATACAGATTTCAACGGCGTCATCTATTAGTCTACAATTTTTATAGCCGTCTCTATTATAAAAAGTTCATAGTATACGCATTATCACAACGTATCTATCTACTGACTTCGAACCTAGATACTTAATACTATACTGTAGATATGTACAAAATTGCCGTATAATTGATGGCTTTACACATAGCAATGGAAAAGCTCCAAATCAAATTGGTTGACAGAGAGTGGCAAGCATCGAAGCGTACCTAAAAATCACCGAAATATTATTCATATAATGGTGGAGCAGGTAAATATACTAAACGTTTATATATTAATGTTTAATGTATTCATCGAATGAAAGCCTTTGTAGGTATTATAGTTAATTTTAGTTTAAACTAGTTCATTTGAAAAAGGATATCTTTATCTGACCTACGGTTTCTGCAAAATGTTGGTTTAAAATTTTCTTCACTTAACAATCTTAACGTCTTGGTAAGCCACAAGAGCTTCTCGGTTCATACTTTGTTCTTATCATCCGAAGATGGCAAATTTTCAGACGGCAA